CTTTGCAGTTTTGCAGCATTATGTGCCCATAACTTTGGGAATTGCAGCAGGGTGGAATGAATTTGCTCCAAAGAAAGTGAACAACATCAAGTTATGTTATTTGTTTCTGTAGGTGCTTTTCTAAATGGAAAAGAGGCAGCAAACCAGGGCACTGTCACCCTGTTTGAAATGGGACTGTTAGTCAATAAACAAAAACCAGGAGCTAAATTTCTGGTACAACTCACAGATACTGGTATTCTCTGAAGTGTAGAGGGAGGGCAGTATCACTCAAGTAAATTCTTGTCTGTCTTCAGGAATGCAAGATGTGGGTACAGAAGCTCAGGTTCACTCAGAATCCCCTGTTTTTTAACCTCCCCATAGAAGTGTGGCACAAATGCTGAGCACAGCAATTTATTCTCTAGGCTTCATGACTTTCCCAGTCTGTTCTACCTGTGCAGCAAGTGTTTAATGTGCTGCTTTGGTTGACAGGGTATGGGTGGACAACATGGATACTTCGGGCTCTGGATAGACAGTGACTATGGGAAGGGACACAGCAAAGCCAAACCTCGATGCACCACCTACAACAGCCCCCAGCTGTCAGCCAAAGAGGATTTCACACTGGATGCCATGGAAGTCTGGGCAGTGGGAGATGTCCCTGAAAGCGTGGTAGGTGAACCTGTGAAATGGTGTCCTGGTTGGAACAGAACACGCAAAACCCACAGTTGCAGTTTTCTCATTAAACTCTCTCTCTCTGTTGTAATTAATAATATTTTCTATAACTGGCCCTGTGGTGCCATATATTTTGTAGCAGGCAAATAGCAGAATAGTAGTGGAATTGTGGAGGTTGCCAACAAGAAAGACCTTCAGGAGCCAAGAGGTGATAGAGTCAGAAGAGCAGTACTTTATTCTGAATTTCCAAAGGCGTTTCCAATATTGACGACTGGTCTCGAGGAGGAACCTCCTTGGAGAGGGGTTCAGTAAAACCCAATGTTTATAAAACAGAAAGCAAGCACTGGAAACTCTCAAGTAAAGCCCAATCTGTAGTTCAGGAACAGACCCAAAAGATTTCTTTATCAGTAGCTTTAAATTTACTCTTGTTTTACAATAAGTTTATGTGATTCAATTGATGCCAATCTTTCTGCACTTGGTTTATCTCTGGGAATGAGCAGGAGCCCTCTTTCCACTCTCCTCTGTCCCCGTAATTTATTCTTATATTAAACTGTCTGGTCTGTACAGCTTGGTGTTGTTTGTTTTTTTTTCCAAATTTTTACTTCTTTTCATACTAAATTCGTGTGCCTTGACTTCACTGGACACAGAGCTCCAAATAGAAACAGAACAAACTGTTTACAGAAAATGTCAAATTGTAATTGAATCTCTTCTTTAAAAAAAACCTTACTTCTGCACTTCAGTCTGAGGTGAGGTTAACCAGGATGTTCTGGTTGGCTTGTAACCTGAATAAACTTGAAATAGTTCACTGTCATCTTAGGAGAAGTTTATGGCTATTTTGTATAACTACAGCTATAAAAATAATCTGATGTATCCCAGTGAATCTTAAATGCCTTACTTGGAAAGTGTGTCTGCTCCATTGTGCCAAGCCTGCAAACCAGATCACTTATGGACTTCTCTTGAGTGTGTCTTTTTCCTGTAGCCTGATATTGACATTTTAAATTGAGTCTGTTTTATTTTCTTTTGCAGACAAAAGGTAAGAAGAGTATCCTGGATGTGGATCCTGAGGCTCAGGCCCTATTGGAAATGGCTGGAAAAAGTCGTCACAGCGAAGGTCTCCGGGAACCCATTGAAGAGGATGAGGATGATGAGAACTAAAGGAATCACAGTAAAATGAAAACCCCTTTATTTTTATTTGCTTCCAAGTGTTAATGTTCCTTGGACAGCGTATTTTTTCCTCTTTTCTTTTTTTTCCCCTTAAATTTACCTAATTATCTGGGACAGAGCTTAAGCCTCGTACTTATGTAATATTTAGGTCTAATGCAATATTCTGCCTGAAGGGTTTTGTTTGGGGAGGACAGAAAAAATAACTGGGGACACAATCATTAGACATGTCTGAGTCCTAGCTGAATATGAATTTGCTTGCATTCCCCATAGATCATGTTTGAAAACTAAATTGAAAGCAGCAGAAGATATCAACAGTATGGTTTACTGACTTGGAGAATTGATATTTTTATATATATATATATATATATATATATATAAAGAGACTGTCTGAGACACTGATTAAGGCTCTTATACCTCAACTGCACAGATTTATTTGCATGCAATGAAATTAGTCAGTGAATTTTCAAATTGTAATGATGTCTTACATTGGTAAACAGAGAATAGTCCACATGATTCCATATGAAGGGTGCTATTAATTTGCATTGCTTTGGTTAAAGCATTAAATTTGACATTTTCTAAGTTGGTTTTTTAGCAAGTGACTCCATATGGGCTGTAAGATGTCCAGAATACTCATACAGTAACAAGGTTTATAATACTACACTATAGTTCAGTGCATCTCACTTCAGCTGTTTCTGCAGAAATTTGTCTGTTGTTTTTTAAACTTAGTAAAACAGAATCACTGGAATCATTCAGCCATATTTTTCCTAAAAATAGGCCTTACTTTCAGCAGAAATTCTCCAGGGAAGGTAAATTCTTTAGTAGCCTCACTTGAGACTGGACCAAAAAGGAAGCCAGTTAATTTGGAATAGGATCTGCAGATACCTTGTAAAAGAAATAAAAATCAGGGTTATGTAAAATGTTTAAAGAAGATTGCTGTACACTTTATTTCCACATATTTAATCATTACTGCATTATGGAAAAAAATGCCTGCAGTTGTTTGGGGGTTTTTGCTCTGTTTTGTGACTGCTCACCAGTCAGCACCAGTTTTGCCAGGTCTCTTGTACTCAGGGCTTTTTCTACTTGAATTTGTTCCCATCTATCAGTAATTAGTTTGACCTCGCTAATTGTATGTGTAATTAACTTGTCAAAAATAACCCTAATTTTTACCAGGGAGTGTAATTTCTAACTCAGCAAATAGTGTTTGGTTATTGGTGTCTGTGATTGTCAGTCTTTCTCTTCCTGAGGAAAAGGACTGTACCCAATCCTCTTTGTCCTGGCATGACTTTGTCTTCTGTGCAGCTTAGAGCAAAAAATGTACCAGAATTCTGCAATTCCTGATCACGTGGCCTTCCTTCAAATTCTTTCCCTTAGTGTTTTCTTGTGTGTGGTCTTTTTTTTTTCCCCACCTGTTGTTTTTCACAGGGAGCCAGATTTGAATATTCTGAATAATCTGCACTTGTGCCTTAATGTAGGTCCCATTCTTTTAGATTTTGTTAAACAAAGTGAACTTAGCCTTGAAAGGAGAACATGAAGAAATCACTCCAGCCAGACATCCTAGAACTCAACTGTGCATTTTGTACACTACCTGAACTAATGACTGGGGCATATATGCTGTTTGTTCCAGTACAGAGTGTGCTGTGGAAGGCCTGAACTAATGTCCTTTTATCCTGTTTTTGCTTAAATAAAAACCTGAAAGTCTCCCAAGTTTGCAACACGTAGAAAAAAAATGTAAGCAGCAAAACAATCGCACTGATACTTTTGTATAATTTTCTTCTCTGTATATATTAATAAGAATGTTAAATAGTACAATGTAGGGAGTGCTGTATAGACAGCAAGTCAGTACATGAAGCTCTGTGTAGGTGTGGTGGTACCAGCTTTTGTTTGAACATTCTCAAACTCCCCCCATAAGTCTCAGAGGTCTTTTCCACTTAGGCACTGGGTGCTCCAAGTGGATGGCATACAGGAATGAGGCAGCTGAATTTCTGCAGTTACACCTAAAATAAACAGCTAGACTTTATTTTCCTTCCATTAGAAGGCAGAGACTTGTCTTTGAGAACTGAAACTGTTTGCAAGGGTTTTTAAAAAATGGTGAGCAGGCTGTGTCTGGGGAGGGTGAGTTTCACAAAGCTACTCTTCTCCATAAGTATTTCAGTGGCCAAGTTGTCTTTGATTTATAATAAGTATCAGGATAGCTGTTTCTTTTCAGACTATGAATCCAAAATATAATCCTGTTTAAACATCATGTTGTGACAATCAGCATAGCATTGTGACCTCTGAAAGTGTAGTTTTTTGACAAGTTTGTGTCTGAGACTCTTCATCTTCACTTTGAAGTGAAGGTGTTAAGCTGGAGCAAGAGGAAAACTGACACTATGCACTTTAACAAATGTCTCAGTGAAGCATTATTTACTAGGACACTACTGATCCAACCAGCAGGTGGGATTGTTCAAAATTGTTCTTTAAATGTAAAAGATGGGCTTGAGAGAGACTCAACTTTTTTTTCTCCCCCTGAACCTAATGATTAAGCGCTCTGGGCTTTCTGCTCATGCACGTAAAACATCCAGAAAGCATTTGTCAGCAGTGGGCTTAGCTGTGATCTAAACATCTCAGTCCCTTTTGTGCAGCTCTTGATCCAACTGCAAAGCTCAACATCCCTGCTCTGTATGACTCATTTTTCTTCTCAGATGCTTGTGAAAGCAATTCCCTTCCCCTTAAATCCATGCACTGCTGTGCTTTGGATCACATCACCCTTCCAGTTTGCTCCTCTTAGTCACACAGGTACCAAAAAAGACAGCTGAGGGTTGGCACTTCAGCTCTCTACTCTGACATCTCCCCACAGTTTCCTTGAAAGGCTTGCTGAATCAAGGCTGGCTATCTGGAAATCTAGAAACACTACAGATTGACTACAGGAAAAGAAGTGCTAATGAAGACAGGTCTTTTCCAGTCTTCTAATTTAATGTAAACGTACAGGTCTAAATCAAGTCTCACACAGATACTTGTCAATAACATTTAAAAATGTAGATTTTATTAATAAAAATGACTTTGATTTAAATAAATAAAATTTCAGTTTATGCACAATATATTTTTCTGTACAGGTGTGAAACTCTTATTTTGTCTGAGAATATCACAGCCTTCTTGACATATGTTATAAAAATATACCTGCTCTTGGTTTGAAACAGGAGCTCCTGCAGAGGTTTCTGTAGAACAGCTCAGGTGGGGCGTGTAGAGGAGACTGTTGGTACAGGTGCACGTGGGTATCTTCAGGAAGGATGTGTGGCAGCAGAAAGAGATGCATTTGGATTATCCAGCATCACAGCTCTGTTCCAAGAGTGTTTTAGAGGAGGTCTGAGTCAGGTGTGACGTCCCTTTGTGTGCCCCGGGCGGCAGCAGCGTCGTTCACACAGTTTGACGAGCTCGGACACCACGAACACTGAGGAAGCCAGTCCAGTGAGGAACAGCAGGTCTGGGGGAGGAAACAGAGTGCAGGGGAGCTCAGCTGGGCAAGAATCCCAGGGCAGGGCCTTCCTGCAGCTGGCATTTGTGCTGGTGTAACCCATGGGTGCATGGCCTTGCCGTGCCTTTGCCAGCTGGAGAATTAGGGAAACTGCTGCAATGAACAAGGGATCCATAGCTGGGTCTGCTCAGAGGGTGGAAACCTCTACATTAATAATTTGGGATCATTGACCACTGCTTATGACAACAGGCCTGATGTGGATGCAACACAGTGTGGTAAGGTGGAGTTTGCTGATTCAAATGGTGAAACCTGCATTGCATTTCAGCTGGGAAACAGTCACCCTGCACTTTCTGAAGGGAGTGCACAAGGATCCGAGATAGATTTATGGACAGAAACATCAGACCTCATGGAAGATCTTGTCATGTCTCCATTTACTTGCAATTATGTGCAGTAAATCAAAATTCAAAACCTAGGCTGGGATAATATCATTAAATACTACTACTATTTGTGTATAGTTATGTGTAAACATAAAGGTGTAGGAGCTGTTGATTGATTTCCCCTACAGAGATGTATTGGGAGGTAACATGAAACAAACTGGGAATGGCATCTGCTTTTTAAAGTAGCTTAAATGAAAGAAAAACCAAACCATTATTTATTTTGCAACTTACCTAACACTCCTAAATTCTCTGTCTGGAAGATCTTCTGTAGTGGAGGGATGTATATAACAGCCAGCTGTCCCAAAAATGATCCAAGCACGGAATACAGGAACATGCGGTTCCGAAAAAAGCCAATTTCAAGTATCAACTTTGTCTAGAGAAGTAGGGGGGGGGAAGAGAAATGTGAACCTCTGCTGGAACATAATATCACAATGTTTCTTTACATGCAAACTCCCTTTTTGAAGTTACATAAACACTAACTTAGGCAGAATTACATAGTTGGAAGTAGTTGCAGTTGAACTGTGATGGATAACTTTATATAAATAAAAAGTTGATAAAAATCACATTGCTTTAAATGACATTAAAAAACCCCCTTACTATACAAACTGCTGGTATTCTAATGTTTATGTTTGTGATTTGAGACAAGAAATTATTGCTGACAGAGCAATCTCACCTGAGAGCGACATGTCAGGGCATTGAAGAGGTCAAAAAACACAAAACAGGTAAAAGTCATCGTTGTGGTTCGAGGAGTTATGCCACCTTTTGGATTCTGGAAGCACATTTAAAATTCAGGGCTTAGTTAAGCCTTACAAAAATATGTCAGTTCAGTAGGTGAATTAAATATGATCCTAGTCATATCAAAGGGTAATAAAACAAAGGAGTCAATCGAGTTTAGCTATTATAGGTAGCATTAATTTCTCTCTACTGATTTTTGAGATTATGATTTTATCACCTATGTTTTAAATTCTTAAAATGATGTGGAATTGAGTAAAGGACATTCTAAATTAAATTACCTAAACTGTTAAAGTAACAGTCACTATTTACCAACAGCAATCCATAGCACTTGGCATTTTCTACCTACATGGGAAGGTAGAAGTGGAAAGTCCCTTAAAGCATCGATACCACAGCAAGTAAGAGTTTTCCTATTGTAGTTAGGAAGCTCCAAATTAGAGGCAACACAGGAAGGCAGAAGCAGAGCTATGAGCTGACCCTGGTTTCTTAACCCTCTGCCTGCACTGATCCTTCCCCACAGGATACATCCCTGAAAGTCCTTTGCATGTCCTTGAGAAACTGCCCTTCCCTTCATTTTCCACCCTGATGAAAACAGGATCCGATTGCAGATTTTCCTCACCTCCTTCCAGAAGACAAAGAGGGTTCCACTGATGATAATGAGAGCTGACATGAAGATTTTCAGGATCAGTGATTTGCTGAGTATGGTGTCTGTGATACACCGGGGGGGCTGTTTGATGGTGTCCCTGTCAACAGGTTCAACTCCCAAGCTGCCTCCAAGAGAAGCAGAGGGATGTGTTTAGTTAGTGCAGGGCATCCCAAAAAGGTACTGCTGATACACCAGGGTGGAGCTGGAGGAGGCAGTTCTTTGGAATACAGCAGGAGTATTCTGGCAGGGTGACATAAGGCCCCAAATTTGTCTGTGACACCAACACCAAAAGTCTCTTTTGCATTTGGAGCTGCTAAAATGACACATTAGACCATCATATCATCTCCCAACAGATGTGTGGCCAACATCTCTTCCACATTGTGGAAGCAGTAATTGTAATTGGCTGTAGTTGTAATTAGCAGTTGGATGAGGTTCCTAAGTGTTGTGATTTTGGGGCATACGCCCCCACATGTACCCAGTATTCCCTTCCCAGTCTATGAGCAGGTGATGTTCTCAGGATAACAGACCATTCCTAGCCAAAAAATGGCATAGTGAAGTGTTTCTACCATGAAATAGCAACACATAAATGTGAAGTAAACGCTTTTGGAGAGACCAGGAGGGAACAAAAGCACAATTTGTCTTATCTAACCACCAAATAATTAGTGCATTGATGAGGAATCAAAGCCAAGAATGTTTTGCTCATGTGACTCTTCCATACCTCTGGGCTGGTGGCCCATCCATGATGATGTTGATCCATAAGATCTGCATAGCATTGAGTGGATTTGGTAGGTTGAGCACTGTTGACAGAGTAACTAGGCTCAAAGCTGAGATACTCCTGCAAAGCACAGAAGAACATTATTCTTCAGGGACTCTCCCCGAAGGTGCTTTCACTGGAAGTGAAGCAAACAGGAACTTACGTGCTCAGCTGGAACCGGACAAAGTTTTTTATGTTGTAAAATATTCCCTTTCCCTCTTCTATTGCATTCCTGGAGGGGAGAGGAGAGTTTATTAAGTAAAGAGCACTAACACTGTTTTACACTGAGCTCCCTGTGACACTCCAAACACAAGTTATCTTTTCTAGCCCTTAATTCAGCTGAAATTCAGAGCATAGTTCAGGATGAGGTTGTCAATGCAGCTTCTCACTTACAGTCACTTTATCAGAACTAGAAGATCTGAAAACATGGGTCACATGGCCAGGTTTTGGTTCATGAAGCAGGCCTAAGATCTAGTTATATCCCCACTGGACCCTGCCCACTCTCTCTGTTGTTAAGAGCCAACAGAGCATTGCAAATTATGTTTTTCCTCTGAGCTTCCTGGATGAGGAAGTGAGCAAATGAGAATTGTAGGATCATAAAGGTTGGAAAAGACCTCCAAGATTTCTGAGCCCAATTTTTGGCCAAAAAAGTTCTAATCTACCCAGACTTCTGGGTAGGTGCTCTCAGACCCCCAGTTAGCTACAGCAATGAGAAACCAGAGCTTTCAGGTGAAAGGGGGCTTTGTCACCACCACTTGTGTATGCAACTGAAAATGAGCTGGACCCACACTGAGTCCACGTACATGTCCTGCATCTTGCCTTGTTCCCAGGGCTAGTTACACAACAAACTTGCTGCAATGGATGACCAGAAAGTATCTGCTGGTAAAAAAGTGGCTAAACCTACATTACTTTTGAGAAGTCATCGTCCACGAGGATCATGTTGGCAGCCTCTTTGCTCACGTCCGTGCCGGCCTGTCCCATCGCGATCCCGATATCTGCGGATTTCAGGGCCACGGCATCGTTGACACCATCTCCTGTCATGGACACCACAGCACCAGCCCTCTGCAAAGCCTGTGGGAGAGGAGAGGTGACAGGCTCTGCAGCCAGAAGATAAGTAAGTCCTGTAGGCAGTCACAGGGTTTGCAATAACATCGAGGGAGCAGAAGTGCTGTGTGACTCTGAGGGTAAACCAGGCTCAGCAGCCACTGAGGACAAAACTCAGACCAAGAATTAAGAGACTGGATTTTCAGGAGTATAGAGCATCTCAACTCCAGTAGAAGTTAGAAGAGGGGAGTCAAGCCCTCAGAAATCATTGTCCTGATATTATGCTTGCTAATAGCTCACTAGTGTCTTTTAAATGCCCAGGCCACATTTGCAAGAGAAATCACAGAATATCCTGAGTTGGAAAGGAACCTCAAGGATCATCAAGTTCCACTCCATATCTAAAACCTTCAGTGTAAATAGTGCCAATGCTCTAGCTGAGTTTTGACAGTCCTTTAGTTTGAGCTGATCCTGCCATGGAAGACCAGGTCATCTAGAGAACTCTGGCTCCCCCTCCCCCTTGTTTTTGTGAGACATGCAAAGGATTTGAGAAGCTTTTAGTACCTTTATTATTTTTAGTTTGTGCTTTGGACTTGTTCTGAAAAAAATGGAAACCTGAAACAACAGAAAACAAACAAAATATAATTAATCTTGTATTGGATGGAAACTATTGGGAATAGACCTTGTTTATGTAATCAAAACCATTACATTTTGGACAGTGGATGACAGCTCTGCCTCTTCCAGTTGGTCCAGCTCTTCCCCAGACATAGCTTTCAGCTTCCCATTGCAGAGACCAATATTCTGTCCTGCAAAGAAAAGCCCAAAATGAGAACTGTCCATCAGCTCTGGAAAAAAACAACTCTTTCCTGACTTAGAGAATAGAGACAGCAATTAAAGAATTTACTGGGAAAAAATGTGTCTGAACCTGGGGCACCTGACAGGACACACAGCTCTGGGACTGGGCCAGTCATCCTGTGCTGACTCAATGGGAATTATGGAAGTAATACTGTACCCAGAACTGGAGCTGGTGCTAAATCTGTCACTCTCTGCTCTGCTACTTGCTCTGCGCATTTCTAATGGAAAAATGAAAAAAATGTGAAGAGCTGAGATACTCACACTCTGAACATTAGTGGATTCTATAATCCCAGCAATGCCATCTGTGTCTTTTGAGGGTCTTACACTGAGATTTTGCCATTTCTGGTGCTGAAATAGCAGAATTAACTCACTGGAATTTGGCTCAGTTCGTAGATGCTCTATTACTGCATTTAAGTGTTGATTCAATGGAAAAGCAAGAGCTCAGTGACTTCTAAAACCTCTATTGCACGCACAAAAAGGATGATGAAGTTGGTTATTAAGTCATGTAACATTTGACTGATCTGACAGACATACTATAGGTCCCCAGGGAAGAAGCAAAGTTTGGTACCTATAGCCACGGCTGTTTCCAGGGCATCTCCAGTTATCATCTTCACTGACACACCAGACTCAAAAAGGACTTGAACAGCTCCTCTCACTCCAGCCCTTGGGGGATCAATTATTCCAACCAGCCCTAAAAATGTTAGTTTGCCAAGTTCTGGACCTGAAGCCAAAGCGAGTACTAGAAACAGAAGGGGAAAAAAAAATGACAAGAGTAAATTATTAATAATGTATTTCCATACAACAAAAGGAACATTTAGAGGAGATATGAAATTGCCAGTTTTCCAGCAGAAAAAGTCATTAAAACTGGATCTTTAGTCATTACAATCAGATCTTGTATAGACACAAAAATTCAGTCCAATTAAATAATAGTTCATCTGAATCAGAGCATTTCTGTTTGACATGTTTCTGTTAGGATTTACGTCCTTCTCATTTTAAATTGTCTACCACGTCTTCCCCAAATACAGACGGATTAAATCGGGGCAGTGCAATGTTAGGCCAGACACTATTAAACTGCTAAGTTAAACAATAGCACTTACACTTTTTTTTTTATTTTAATCTAAAAATGTGAAATGTAAATTCAGTTAAACCAGTGAGACTCCCATCACGTAAACATCAAGGCTCTGAACATTTTGTTTCTGTTCCCGGTGCACATCCGTATCATTCAATCATTAAATCACTCAAGGATATTTTGCCAGGGGTTCGTGTCAGTGTTGCTTTGATGATGGAATCATAAGCTGCAGCAGCTGCCTGAGCTAATCACTTCCCTTCAGAGCAGTAATTTGCTGTTACCACAAGGGCAGATGATTTGGATATTGTAAAGCAAGCGCCGTACACGAGTTACTAACCACAAGACACGGGGCTGGAGAATATGTACATTAACTGTACCAGCTTCCAGATCCGGCTGCCAAGACTTGTTCTCATCTACTTACAACCTGGGAACACGCACAGGAGACGGTGTCTTTGTTACTGTGTGAAAGTCTAAGATATTTCTGAAGGGATGTTTCTAGTGGTGAAGGAGATGACACGTGTACAAAAACTTCTGTGGGCTGTGCACTGACATGCAGTCGGGATCAAGAGGAGATTGTTAGATTTGGTTCTAGTGAAGAATTGAAATGAACTTCAAATGAAAATCTCAGCACCCAAATCCATGTTTGGAACTCCTTTCAAAGTGGCTTTTTGTTGTTTTTGAGGCAGCTTCTCCAAAAGCAAACCTTGGCAGAGTAGTGCTTAGATGGGGCCCAGCACAAAGCTTTTCAATGCACACTGTATGCCAGGCAATAACAACACTCCATGGAAGAAAAACATTCACCTTTCCAGTGCTTATTTCAGCTCCTTTCAAGCTCACTAATTTAAACCCAGCAAAAAACCAGATCAACCAGCAGACCTAAGACATGGCCTTCAGCAAACTCTCACGAGGGTTGCAAAGGGATCATCCAAGTGATGTTAAGAAACTGAATTTAAGCTGAAAGATATTTAGATGGGATATTGGGAAGAAATTCTTCCCTGTGAGGATGGGGAGGCCTTGGCACAGGTTGCCCAGAGAAGCTGTGGCTGCCCCATCCCTGGAAGTGTCCAAGGCCAGGTTGGACAGAGCTTGGAGCAACCTGGGATAGTGGAAGGTGTTCCTGCCCAGGGCAGGGGGTGGAATGAGATGAGATTTAAGGTCCCTTCCAACCCAAACCATGTTGTCAATCTGTGATGACTGAGCCTCTGTCCACCCTAACTAAAACAGAGCAGGAAAGTACTAGGGCATGATAACCCATAAACTTAAGACTGACCTCGAAGTCCTGAGGAGCCCATTCGCTTCTCTTCCTGCTGGTAGGCAGCTTTCTGCTGGGGGGTGAGTGACAGTGAGATGCCACCACTGTTGTACAGAGTGCAGTACTGAATAACTTCTTCAAATGCTCCTTTCATAAAGTAAATATCTTCCCGGTCCTTTAAAGCAAGGAGATAATACACTTTATATTAAAGAAAGAGAACTTTTTTTTTTAAAAAAGGATCTTTTGTTTCCTCTTTTACCTGTTTCATGAGATGCCCAGGAACTTGCATTATGTATAAGATGGGATATTTTTGTTCTGACCATTTTTCATGTTCAGCCATCAGAGACAGAATTGTAATGAAAAGGTTGGTGAGTTTTTAACCTCACCAGTACAGTATCAGCCAAAATGAACTCCTTGACCCAGTAAGAGGTAAAGGGCCAACCTTTTTCTCCCAAACACCATATCTCTCTTTGCCTGTCAGTTATCTCTGAAAAGCTTTTGTTTTCCTGCTCACACCAGTGTATGGAAAGTATTCTCTCCTCCCATTCAAACGCAGCTCTACAAGGTAAAATTACACCCAAGTTGGGAATTTGGAGGTTTGTTCAGTTTTCTCCCGACATAGTTAACTCCTGAAAACATTATTTGCTGAAGAGATACCATTTCATGCCCATTGTTGAGGTGCACAATTAGAAACACGAAACCAGCCACCACCACTGTTTGCTTTACCTGATTTTTCAGTGTGCATTTCACAGCCATCCACTTCTGTTCAGAGCTAAATGGAATTTCCTTCTTTCTTACATAAATGTCTTTTATGTCAGCTAATTCCATCTGAAGTAAGGTAAAATAAAAAGAGCACTGTAATGCTGAACACTGCCAAAGTTTGTGTATATATATATATATATATATATATATATATATTAAAAGGCTTGACTGTTGACCATGTCCTTCCAGGCTGTCAGATACCACAAAAATTCATATTTCAAATATGAGAGAAAAATTCATGATTCAAATCCAACTTTTCCTTTTGGTGCCTCATGTGGGATAAATTAAATTGGAGTTCAAAGCTTGATTCCTATTAACTTTTGAAAGAACTAGGGAGCTGCTCTGCCTTTTTGGTGGGGCTTTGGGTCAAAGGAGGCTCAAGTCCATTCCCTAAAACTTCAGCAAAGCAACGGGCTGGGCAGATTTCTTCCAGCCCAAGCTCAGGCTCCCCCACTTTGGTTATTTCCCAGTGACTCTAGTTGAAAGAAAAAGGGAAATTGCAAATAACTGAAGGGTAGATTGTAACTGTGGTTTCAAGTTATTTCCTGATGAGTTGAACTCAAAAAGCAATTCACCAAAGTGAAAAATTAAAAAGAGAAATGGAAGAGACAGCCTCCCACATATTCTGCTATTGCTTGGCCACTGAATGCCAGAGCTGGAGGGAGCTTTTAATTCAGCATTTAGGGAAGTGAAATATTGTTTTAAAAAAAAGAAATTAAAAAAAAAATCATGATTTTGCTGTTAGTTATGGGCTTTAAAAATAGGAGGTAAGATCAGATGCTAGGAGGTGCATCATTTCATGGGGTACCTTCTGTGCTTTACAGCCCAGCTGAGCTCTGAAGCCACAGGCTGTGTTATGCTGATTAGGTGATACCTTGAGGTATTTTACAGCCTCTGCCCATGAGCATGAATGGAACATCCATAAAAAAAATCTTCTTTAACATAACCATGACTAGAAAAAAAGTAAAAGCTGCCAGATGATTCAAAATGAGGGTGACCCTCTGCCGTGCTTTCCAGTCTGGCCTGTTCTTGCTCATGTTTCACTCTTGTCTTCCTCCTGAACTCTTAATTGGCACATGCAGAAAATATTGAAAAGGCTGTCCAGTCTGACCCTGAAAGAAATCCATTCCACAGCCTAACTGCATGGTTAACCAAACAAAACAGTTATTGCTGTTAGTGCAGAAGCTCAGGGAAGGTGTTTGCCCACGACAAAAAGGTTGACTGGGAGAGGTGTGCATGTATGACCTTGGGAAGAAGAGATGAGGAAAGATTAAAACCAGTCTGGGGAATTTAAAGCAGTCTGAATGCTGCTGCCAGACCTAACAATTCCAGCTTTTTTTTTTTTTAAATTTTTTTTTAAAATTTCTTGAAAATTTTAAACTGTAAGAACCTTACCTTCATTGCCAGGGCAATGAGAGCTCCTTCTGTGGGTTGTCCTATCACACTGTTTTTCCTGATAACAGCATTATTGACCACACAGCCAGCCTGCAGAAAGGAACAGGTTTACATGGTTTATTTTTTTAATTGCTAAATTCATAGCTTTTCCATCTCTTTAAATGAAACAATGAAAGATTGGAGAATGAAAGCAGCCACATCCCAAAAGACTGGTGAAAAGATTCCCCACGACAGTGTTTCCTGAGATCAGTTCTTATGCTTTCTAAACCCCCTTACTCCAGAGGATACAGCAATGAAAGTTTAGTGTCTCCCCTACTATTGATTATTATGTGCAGTGTGGATAAGATACAACCTAATCTCCATATGAGATTTCAGCTCATATCATTTCCTCACCCAAACAGTCATTTTAGTCTACAGTTAAATGTTCAAAATTTTATTTAATGCTGACGCAGGACGCAGAAATCATCATAAAACATTTATAAATTGACTATGTGGCTAAAGTCTAGAGTCTGTCCACACTTAAAACCTGAACATGGTAAAATGAATCAGTCTCTCCTCTGACAGAATTGTGGTTTTATCCAAAATATCATTGACTCTTGAAGCTGATGACTCTGGTCTCTCCCTGAATGTCTTATGATCTCTCCCTTTCACCCATAAGCTTCAGGTACCACATCACACTCAGCATCTTTCCATGAGAATATTTTAGCAGGACAGCTCATTTTGGAGTTACAAAAGTTGTTTGGTTTGTTTGTTTGTTTGGTTTTTTTTTCATGATAATTACCCAAAGTAATTAGTGCAACTGAAAAGTGAATTTAACTAGGGTAAGCTGGTTCATAGGTTACACTTACCTCCACTAGCTTCCCAACGGAGATGTTGGAAAATTCTTTAAGGATCTCCTTTGTTGGCAGAAGATAAACATTTCCTTCTCCATTGTAGCCCACCCCGCTGACCTGAGGGAGGGACAGACAGACAGGACATATTTCCCTGTGCCAGACAGGACTGTTCTGCAAAGTTCTAATTGTGAAGAAGTTCTGGGATTCTTTTTTCTGCCTCAAGCTTATAGGAAAGGCTGCAAACAGTGACAGTATAATATAATAGCTGTATAGGAACAACTTGTCCTGTACAGAACTTCTTCACCGTGATTTCAGGAGTCTCCTGCAGCTCAGGTGAGAAATCCAGCCCTTTGGCAGCAGTGGGTTCACTGGTTGTGTCCAAGCCCCGCCCTCACTTTTCACACAGGTAAACAAACCAAGCAGAAGGATTAAGCCACATCTTCCTATAGAAGACAGACCGACAAGGGTGAATGGCAGGTTTCAGTATTCACAATAATTACAGAGAACAGCAGGTTATGTCAACGAGCAGGTTATATCAACTGTGATATCTGAGCAGTCTGTGTACTCTCAGCCCCACCTCTGCCTCTCTCCAGCGCTGCAAAAATCCCTTCTTTTAATAGGACGGGTGACGTGCAACGTCAGCCCCAAACCAACTGCTTGATTTGGGGCTGACCAGCCTCCCTCATTTGGGTGTAAGTGAACTAAAGGCAAAAGAGCCCTGCTGAATTTCAACAGAAAAGCCTGAATTGCTGTCCCATGCCCACCTCTGCCTGGAAGCCATCCGAGGTCACCAGCCGGGTCACCGTCATCTCGTTGGCCGTCAGGGTGCCCGTCTTATCCGAGCAGATGACATTGCAGCAACCTGAGGAAGGAAAGTTCTTCATCAGAACTGGTAAATGATGCAGCCCAACAGCGAGATTCAGAAGAGGGAGGACAAGTTTCCCTGATGTTATTTAAACTGCACCAGTGAGAAAAGGGAGAAGAGACCAGGAAACGGATGAGTCTCCTGACAGGGTGTGTAAGGGAAGGATCTGAGTGCACATCAGGGCATTGGGCACATAATTTGGGTGTGAGATGGGGTAGGAGACATCTGAAGAAGGCCACACTGTCTTGAGCATCATAGGGTGGGCAGTCAGAGGGCATTGATCCCCAGAGAGCTGGTCAGTGTTTCTGAGTTGCAATATCACACAACAGAACAGCTACTACACTCCAAAAAGACAGCTCAAATTCCCACTGCCATGTGCTTCCTCCCAGGGGCCATTTGACCCTTGCTTCCCTAAATCGGGAATAGCAGCCCTTCCCTGCCTCACCAAAGGACTGTGAGAGCAGATGGGTTAAAGGCTGTTACAAAAAGTACTTAAAGATCCACAGCTGAGAGAAGAAGCTGCCCCTTTGCTCTGCTTTGTGCCAATCCTGCTTCAGTAAAGCACATTTTTGCAGGGCCCACTTACAACATACAGCAAAGGAGTGGATTATCAGAGATATCACATTCCAGAGGATTTCCACTCCTAAGAAGGGGAAAAAAAATCACTTTAATTAAAAAAAAAAAAAAAAAAGAATCAGACTCCAGCTCCCTTCTAAGTATCTTCCCTGGCTCTGGAGATGCCCACAGCGCTTGGGCACAGACCCCATGAGCACGAGGAGCTCCAGGTAAGAGCCTGGAGAGAATAAAGCAGATTGGGCTGCAATTAAATTAATAGCAGTTTCGAAGGAGTAGCAGAGAGCAAAGCCACCACTTCCAATACTACATATTTAGTTACTGACAATTGGAGGAGAAGGATTATTTCTCTCCTTTTCAGAAGTTTAGCAGACATGGCGCTCTCAGTGTGTGAGTGGGTGCAGGTTTGGCCACCTGGCACTGGCAGTTCTGCCTCCTTGGGCACAGCCCTACCAGAACGGAATTCCTCACGAGGGAAAAGCCATTGCAGATGTTCTGGGTCAGGGCAGACACAATAAAATAAGGGTGATAAGACTCCTTAACTGCAGAACAAACAAGGGCAGTTCAAACAATAGCAGGGTTTCCAAAGAAGACAGGGTTTAACTGAAGGATCTGGTTGTGCAGCAGATGTCTGGGACTTTGCACAGACCAGGCTTGGCATTGGTGAGAGTTTAATGAGGGTTCTAAACAGACACCACAGTGTCTCCTCGTCCCTTTCCCTGCTACACTGACCCAGGCATGCAGCCACCTGGGAGTAAGGGCCCATTTGAAGATAAGGGGAGGTGGAAGAACAATTTCATTCTAGTTCATTCTGCTCTGATGTTCTGAGGATGGGCAGGATGCCTTCTCAAGGTCTCAAGGTCTCTCTGTCCCTGCTCTCCTTGACTTTTTGGATATCAGGGAGATGGCCACCCAGGCTGCAGAAGGAGATATTTATTTGTGCTGCCGGGCTTGACTTGAGGCTGGGAGGTTTTTAGCCAGACACTGAAGAATTGGACAGGATGGACTTGCAGGATGATCCCAGAGCGTGGAGAGGAGGGAAAAACCAAGCTTTTAACCCAAGCAGGGCATGTATGTCTGTTCCCTGTGGATCATGGCTCAGGTTGCATCATTCCAAGCACCTGCCTGTGCTCACACCACTAAAATGAGGGAAAAGGGTGAGAAACACAGGGTAGAACACATTTAATTCTGAGTGGGTTGCTCTGTCCCAGTAAGCATATTCCAAATTTCTGTTTTTCATCAAACCAAGGCTCATAGGGCCAGCCCATGGCTCAGATTTTGGAGTCTGGAGAGATGACTGAGCTGCATGGCCCCTTGGCAGCCTTACCTAAGGTTTCTACTATGGGCAGCTTCTTCACAATGACCTTTTTCTTGGCCATCCGGAGAACTCCCAGCACCAGAGTGACTGTGACCACGATGGGAAGGCCCTCAGGGATGGCAGCCACGGCCAGGCTGGGGACACCAGAGACACAACAGCTTCAGCAAGGGGTCAAACAACAAATACTGACCAAAATGTGCCACAGGGACATTTCCATGGTATGAATTTTTCTGAGTGTCTGCCTGGGAGCACCACTGGGACTCCTGGCTCACTGTAAGTACAAAACCAGGATATTTGTCCAACCCTTCAACCTTTTTCTGGATGATTTTTGACAGAGTAATTATTTTTCTTCTTTACATTGCCAAAGAGCATTAATTTCTGGCTAAGCAGGGATTTAGTGGTTGGATTTCATTTCGTTTATTTAACTTTCTGAGGATGGAAGTTGAATATTCCTTGGCATCATGGCTCACACATTAGCTGCTGGCTCCTGGCCACATGCAGCCCCTCATCTCCTCTCTTACCCACTATGGAGGGGCAGGACGAGCTCCCCAGATCACTCCAAAACCAAAACCTTCCACACCTGATATGTTGGAAAAATCCAGCCACAGTCTGCATGTTCAATATTAGATATTCCTTGGGAAAGTCTGAATGGTTTTATGTCTGTGCAAAATATAATCAAGGAGGGCTTTCAAAACCATAGGCTGCTCTCCAAAACTCAGGATTAACCACTTTTCTTTGCCACCACATGCCCTGGCAGACAGGGAGGTGGCACTGAGCCATTTTGGCTTCTCTATTGTCCCCTCATCCTGGGTTTTGTTTTAATTTCCATAGAGTAGTTTTTTAAGAATTGATTTTAGAGCCATGACAACCCCAAGTAAGATGGTTTATGGGCATTACTGAAATATAGTTACATGGTTTATTATGTTTGATTAGGAGGCTGTGCATGCTCTTTTATGCTGCACGAATTGTTCATTCATATCTTTAGACGTAAGTCCAGTAAGAACAGCAAAGAGTAATATTTGCTCTTGTACACTCCCACTTAAATTCATAGTACAGATAGGAAAGGGCATTCACAGCATGATGAGGTAGAGATGCTAGTGAAGATTTTCAAACTGCCAATTTCCAAAATTAAATAAACCCTCAATTTTTTGTTCTCCTAATCTCTGTTTAAAGCTCACATTAATGTCACCAGTGCAAGAGCAATATGTACTTAGGAAGGGTCTTACTCAGGTTCTCTTTTGTGAAATGTCCATTGTTTTGAATGAGGAATTCCCTGGGATGTGTTTCATTAGAAATCAAGGAGAAAGGTGCTCTCCAGCCCTCACCTGACTCCAATGGTGAACATGCTGAGGAGATGCTTCCCTTGTAACCACCCAGTGAGCATTATCAGACCTGCAGGGGGAAAACAATCTCATTAAAAAAAACTTAAATTAATAAATATCTAACCTTCCTTATCTGTTGTTTTAGAACAAAAAGTGCAATACAACCCCAAATATCTCCTTCAGAGTTGTCTCCTCTTAAACCCCCAAAGTCCAGGTAACCCACATTAACAAGGACTTCTGGGAAAGCAGCCCTGGAGCACAGAGGGATTCCACAGCCGACCGTGCCAGTGCCAGCATCGTGTCCCACTCACCAATTATGCCAAAGGAGAACAGGCTGAGCTGCTTCCCCAGTCTGTCCATGTTTTTCTGGAGAGGTGTCTTGGGAGTCTGGAAAAATCAGACAATATCCGGTTTTCTTTGCTTGTTATGTGGGATCAGAAGATTCTTGTCAGCCCAGAACAACTGATCCTGCTTATCCTTTCCGTGGTCCCTACAGTTACCCAGTGCTTACCCCACCCAAATCCCAACAGGGTCTGTTGGGCACAGACCATCCAGCAGGGAGTGAGTCTGCCTCAGTGCACTCAAGACAGGCAAAAAAAGTGGGAGAAGAGATGAATTAATCACATTAGTTTGCAGCTGGGGAAACAAGGTAGAGACAGTAATCTGGAAAGGTCCTTGAGTCTAGGACTGGATAATGTGTGTGCAAAGCCTCTGGGACAGGGATAAAAAGTCTGAAGCCCACCCCCATGGTCTGTGCTCTCTTCTCCAGGGCTGTCTGTGACCTGGCAGACCCAAGCAGACCCTTCTCCTCCACTGAGCCAGCTCAGAGAAAGTTTCAGGCCAAGGAAGGTACCAAACCTGAGCTCCTGTTCTGCAGCAGCGCTTTGCAGAGACCTGCAGAGCATCACAGCAGCACAGAAAAGTGGCTGCTTCTGCTTTCCTGTGATTTCTTGTGTTAATGGATCAAGAGTTAATTAGTTTCTAGACCCTCATCTGTGTTCAGAAATCTGACTGGTGAGATCTTGACATGTGTAGAAGTTAAAGTTTTTTATACCTACTGGAAAATACGTGGGTGAAATAAAAAAGAAGAAATCACAAGTTTTAGGTGACATTAGATACAAGCTACATATCATGAGTCTGGATTTAGAAGCCTAACTCCTGCTAATAACCTTCTCTTTCAGATATGGCACTTTTGGTGTCCCTCAGTCACACAGGCATTTTGTAGTAGGAACAGAACTGAACCCAGAGCATTAACTCTTGGGACTGCTCCTGCTCACAAACTGTCATCCAGGACATCCAGCATTTCCATAGACACAGATTGTGTTACCTCTTCAGCTCTCATCATTTTGAACACCTCGCCAAACTGGGAACTTTCACCTGTGCCAATAACTACACCCTGAAAAAAAGGAAAAAAAAAAGGAGATGGAGATGAAAAAAATCTAGAGACTCACAGAATCCCAAAATGGTTTGGGTTGGAAGGGACCTTAAATCTCATCTCATTCCAAGCCCTGCCATGGGCAGGGACACCTTCCACTAGACCAGGTTGCTCCAAGCCCTGTCCAGCCTCGCCTTGGACACTCCCAGGGATGGGGCAGCCACAGCTTCTCTGGGCAACCTGTGCCAGGGCCTCACCACCCTCACAGTAAATAATATCTAATCTAAACCTGCCATCTGTCAGCTGAAGGTCATTCCCCTTTGTACTATCACTCCATGCCCACACCAAAATAATCTGTAACTAATGCCAAGGAAAGGATGGATGATGTCAGGACTCACTTTTCCCTTCCCATACTGCACCAGGGTCCCCATGAAAACAACATTGCTCAGTGTGGTTATGTCTCCAGCTTCCAGCAACACAGTGTCAGTCTTGTTGCAAGGCTCAGCTTCTCCAGTAAAACTGGATTCATCCACCAGCAGATCTGTAACCTAAATAAAGAGACACGTTTCTGGCACTGTTAGGACAAGGAATTCCCAAACCAGGCTCTTCCATAGCTGTATTTACCTCTATCAGCCTGAGGTCTGCAGGAACCCTGTCTCCAACAGACAGGTAGATGATATCTCCAGGCACCAGCTCTCGTGCTAGAAGATGCTGCAGTTTCCCTTCCCTTAGGCTACATCAGATAAATGGAAAAAGAAGAAAGCAAACCAGGCTTTGAGGTTTTTATTCCTCCTGCAGGCTTGAGAATGTGACCAGCAGGAAAACAAGAAGCCTTGCCCCAAAGAACTTCCAACGTAAATAAGAACATAAAATCCTCATAATGATGAGAAGAGGATTATGTTCAGTTTAGACTCAGTTTTAACTTATAAACAAATGGGCAGGTTATGGATGATTTACATTTCAGCAATAAGTGAATTATACAGTATTAAGACAGTAGATAGGAGTGACAAGAGGGTGTGCTTTCATGATCTGAATAATGAAATGCAGATTCTTTAACCTAAAAGGAAGCTTTTTAAAGCTACAATTAGCCGTCATTCCGCTGTTGCATCCAAAGTACAGCCTCCTAAACGGTCAGATGCTTATGGTGTCATATCATAAATAAATAAAGAACCAACAGTGGGGTTTGTAAGCTCCAAACCAGGGTGAACTTTGGACCAGAGGAAAACCCCACACCTCTTTGGCAGGGCCAGGCTTCCCTGAGTCTCAACGCTTATTTATGTTAGCCTTGACAAAACTGACTTGTGGAGACTTAAATAGGAAGAACTTTTCCTGTAATTTAAGGCACTGATAGCAAACATCAAAGCCCTCAGGGCAGCAGGATCTCACACACCCTGTGGCTGCCCCAGGGGCTGTGGAACTGCTGTGCTCCCATGTGCCTGACAGGTGTGTACAGAAACAGGCAGCGAGGAACCCCAGCCCACAGGCACCTCCACTCCTGTGCTGGTTTGTGCCAATCTTTTAGGGGTAAAACTACCCTAAAGTCCCCCAAAAATACACAGGTGAGGTTTTCCCTGCCCAGGGAATCAGTGACACACAGGAGGCTGCATGGATCTTTATGCAGGGTGTGGAATGGGACATTTCTGTGACCTTCCTGTCTCTGAGCATTTATTCAGATACAGGGTGCCTACTTTAATTATTTCATCCCCTTTTCCTGTGACTTGCAGCTGCACCCACACACGGTGCCATCCCTCCAGAGGACCAGGGTCTCATTATGTCCACAACAACCTGAAGGAATTTTCTTCACCTGGTGGTTCTGTCCTCCTACCCCCATCCCTGCCAAACCTCTGCAGCAGGAATGTCTCACCAGTTGCACTCGGGGGGCACCAGCTTGTTGAGTTCTTCCAGAGATTTTTCCGAGCGATATTCCTTTTAAAGGAGAAAGGAGAAGAGAGCCAGGAGTTACAGGAGAGGGCTCACTCCTAACAGCCACGGCCATGGAATAACCTACCTGGATAACCTACCTGGATGAAGGCCACGGTGACCACGATGAGCACGGCCTGTGAACAAGGAGGAGTTACAGGTGTGGACACACCAGCTCAGTCAGGGAGCCATCCAAAGGTTGGGGTGCAGGAGAGGTCCCACCTACCATGGTGATGCTCGCTGCATCCTCGTATTCCTTTGTGATGACACTCACCAGAGCTGAGGCCAGCAGCAGGAGGATGAGGGGGCTTTTGAACTGAAAAAAAAAAAGAACAAGTCACAATATGAAATTAAATATGGACCTGCTGAAGGTGAGCTGGTGCAGAGCTCAGCAGGAAGGATTCAGGTGTGGTTTTGCTGCAGGGACCCTCCTTGCTTGTGCAGCAGCATTGCTCTGCCCAGAAAGAGGGTGCAGCACCTGCAACCAGGCACCTGCAAATCCCAATCCTGTACAGGGTGCTTTGGGGACCAGCAGGACAAGACTCACACCAAAAGGCAAAAGTTTTCTCACTTTTTCCCTCTTTGCACAGGCAGTGCTCTCCTTTGCAGGCACACAGCACAGGCCTGACTCCAAATGCTCCTTGGATGCACAATAAATACACTCAAAGACTTTATTGTCTTTTTAGAATTTGAAACCAAAAATCCTCTTTCTTTTTTTTTTTTTTCATTTTTTCATTTTTTCTTTAACTAATCTGCTCAGCTCCTCATTGGACCAAGGCTGTGGGAGTCAGGTATTCACCTTTTCACTTCTAAACATGGATTTTAAGGCCCATTTTCCTACCTGAGAACATTACATCTCCGTTGAGCTAATGTGGGAATTGTTGGAAAGGAATTCGGTAGATAAAGAAAAACTGCCTGGTTTGGGTAACAGATGTGTGGAGATGCTCAGTAGGAAAGCCAGGGTTTAAATGTATTCCTTGCTGAAACCAAAGGTGAAAATTCCTCCACTTCTCTTTAGAAAACTGGGGCAAAGGGGATGTTTACAAAAAATAGCAGCTGTAAAAAGACACAGCAAGTGTCTGCTGAGGGATGACGCTCAAGTGCAGGGTGTGAATGGAGTGGGACTGCAGCAGCTCCTCCAGAGACACCAACAGGTTGCAGGAGGTTCAGAGATGCCCAAAGAATTCTTTTGGTGCCTCTGTAAGAGAAACTGCTTGCTAAAGTTGAGCAGAAAAAACCAGCATCTCACTTGAAGAGATGTAGAGATAATTACCAAGACCTTAAGGAATGCCAATCATATAGAAAAAAGTGATAAATCATGACATAAAACTGAAATCTTTCAAAGCAACTCAAATCTTTGTGATTCGACTAAGCAAGAATAAAATCAGTCAAATTACTGGTTGAAAATAAAAAATAAAACCAAACAAAACAGACTCTTCTTGTTCAGTGAAAAGCTCTAGAAGAGAGGTGAAAAATGCATTAAATAGTTATGAGAAATAGTTAATAAAAGCAAAACTCAAGGATAACTCAGCTGAGGGAAGACAAGATTGCAAATACCACCTTCTGCCTGGCTTTTTGGGGAAGCTGGCATGAAATCATGGATCTTCACAGTTCCTGGCACCGTGTGTGAATGATTCTGTCACTAATGTATCACTGACACTGCCCTGGGCTCCACAGCTGCCCCTTCACTGCAGGTTTAGGCCTTTCCCTCACTGTGGCAGCCAAAAATCGGAGCAGATTTCAGCTGCTACTGGTTCTCCTCAAACCTTTCATGATTTTATCACTTGCCTTAAAGGGAGTAAATATGCTCCAGCAATCAGGGCACTGATCTTGATTTTTGATACAGCTTTTGATTTGTGGGCTGTGTGGAGATAAAAAGGTTTATTTCTACTAGAAGATGTTATCTTCACACTCTGCAGCAGGACCTCACAATGGTTTTCCCAGGGAACAGACAGTTTCTGTGTCCAGGGCACAGCCTGTCCCAAGGCTGAACCTCTGGAAGCAGAAACTCTGAATAGTTCAGTGCAGAGACACTCTCAGCCAGGGGACTTTGCCAGGAAATGAGAATCTGTGCAGAAAAATCCCTTACCTGGTCCAGATATTTCTTCCATATCGGCTCCTTCTTCTCTACTGAAAATTCATTCCAGCCGTGTTTTAACCTGCGCTGGAGCACGGAAAACTCAGACAGTCCAGTCTGTAAATCAACCTGGAGGGAAAAAACCCCAAACCCAACCCAAATATTATATATTGTTATGGAAAACTTATTTAGGCAATGTTATGTTAAACCCCTGTAAGCAGACTGGGCAAGACATTCATGGCTCAGTTCCCCACAAAAATATAAATCTGCCCACTCTTTTTCTCTTTAGTTATTTATTTTCATTAAACCATAAAACTTTACGATCAACCATTAGAGAAAACCTTAAAGTAAGCACAAGTTAATTAAAAAAAATGTATTTCCAAAAGAGAGAAACCCAAGAGTAGATAACAAATTAGAAATCTAAAACAGTAAAGGAAAGAATCAATTTCTGATTTTACTGTATATTTAAAGAAAAGCATTAAAATAAAAATACTCTGACAAAATTCAAAGACAACAAAATGAGAAGGGATAAGAGCTATTTTGTCTGGGTTTAAAAAACCACTGAGGTCAGAAACCACAATATAGCCAAGCATTATAACTTTCCCTGGCCGTTTCCTCCTTGAATCCCAGTGTCTGAGCTGTGCAGCCTGTGCTGGGGCCCCTCCTCAGCCTCAGCCCCTGCCAGGGTTCCATTTTCCAGGCTGGGCAAGGGAATTCTTTCACCCACAGAGCAGTTCACTTCAGTGAAACCCTTCCCTGAGACAAACAAAGTCCAAATTCCCAATGCTGACCCTCGAGCCCATCCAGGCAAGGATTCACCCCATGTAAATGCAGAGGAATTGGGCACTCCAGGAGTTTGCATGAGAATTATTAAGACCTGTTTTGCTGCTCAGCCCCTTCCCACGGGCAGATCCCACCACCTGCACCCCATGTTGGCAAAGACCCGCACAAATCCTTACGTTCAGAGCTCTTGCCAAGTCTTCCTTGTGGCATTTACAGGCATCTTTCGGGGGCACAACTGTCACCTCCTTCTCCTGCTCAATTATTTTCAGTTCACAGTCCTCACGGGGCTGAGTAAACAAGACAAAGCAATCGTTAGGTGAGAGCAGAGCAAATGAAAGCATTTCAGCACCTCTTTGCTCCTTCCCTTGATCCCCCTCCCTCCCCTCACCTTGCCAGATGTGCAGCTTCAATTAGCTACAACAGATCCCAAATCACAGCTTTATACCATCCACTAATTAATCCTGATTACAGCCTCCAAGCCAGGTGTCATTCTTGTAGTGGAAGAAAGGCCATCAGGAGCTGAGTAGCCAAAAAGAGAAGCTGCTGCTGAGAAAAGTGTGTCAGGCTGTGCTGTTTGAGGTGTCCTGTCCCACATGAGCATTTTTCCATCTCAGTGTCTCACCAGCCCACTGCACACTCAGCACTCAGAGTAAGGAAAAAACCCTTTCCCCTTGTTAAAGACATAATAAATGAACTGAAAATGTGAGCTAGGAAAATCTCTGAGCCAGCAGATAGAGCAAAATCTCCTCTCCCAAATGCAGGGCTGTTTTGCTCCACCACTGATTGCACAGATGCTTCCAAGCAGGATAAATCTTCTTGCTCCATCCAGGCAGCCCAAGGTCTCAGCACCCCAATCTCTCTTTCCTTTCAAGATCCCTCATTTTATTATCAAAAATGCACTTTCCAAAGCAGCAGCATTCCCTGAAATCTCAGCCAGGTCCATGATAGAGGTGATGTGACCACTACTGCAGGCTAAATGCAGAGAGGGAGAAACCTCACCCTTCCAAAGGGACAGCGATTCTGTTCCCATTTACCTTCATTCATGAAGCACCAGAGTGTGTGTTCATTAAGAAAGGCATCCCCAGGGATCGTGGTGCTCAGCCATGGCTGGAATTTGTCACCTCTCCCTGCTGCCAGTACCCAGGGGTGTTTGCTGTGGGATTCATCCAGGTCTGGCTCATCTACAGCTGAGCAAGGCTTGGAGGATTTCAGGGGTGTCTGCAGCAGTACTTGGGTAATTAGTCCTCCTGAATAGTCAGGAGCTTTCTGGGAACATCCAGTGCTTTACAATGTAAGATAAATGCAGGAAATCAGAAATGCAGAAAAATCTCCTTGGCTGTTTGCTCCTGCTGGGATGTGGGATTGGTTTCACTCTTGGTTTCTGGAGAGCTCATAACAGGTGAGCAAGGAGTATCTGTAAGCCCTGCTCCTTGAAGAGGCTTTAGCCACATCCATCTGTTGCAGTCCCCTTTTTTTGGCCATTTCCTGACCCACAGCTCAGCTGCCAACACGTGGGACACCCACCTGCTCCCAGCAGAAAAGCACAGGGGTCTGCTCTGACCCCTTGGACTGGGGAGGGCTCATTTAAAAGCCATTTTGCCCCAAGAACACCCTGCCTTCCCCAAACCCCAGCAACTGGCCCAAGATCTCCAAGGGTTTTCCTGCTCTCATGATTCCCTCACGCTGGTGACCACACTCTGCCCAAAGAAGCTGCAGTATTGGTCCCCTTTTCTGAGCCATACCAGCACTGGACATCACCCTTCTTTCAACATCTCCTTAACGGGCATCTCTAGAAGAGGCAAAAAAAAAGTCCTTCAGTGTTTAAAACGGATGATTTATATCCCTATTTGTGTGTTCTGGTTGTGTAAATTCATCAGTCCCCTGCAACTTTGTTGACATCCAGACACTGCAAGCCTGAGAGCCACCCACGTGTCTAAGGAGATGGAAGGACTTGGTGGGAAGAAAACCCAGGGCTGTCACGGATAGACACATCCCTGCATTCATTACCATCCTAATTAACGAGGCTTCTACAGGCTCCTCTGTGCTGCAGGTGACACACTCAGATATCAAGGTATAGACTTGCCTTGAAGGATTTTAAATTTTAATTAAAGCAGCTGGAGGGCAGGAAGAGACCTGGGCATGAGGATGACATGCCTGCAGTCCCCAGAGCCAGCAGGGCAGTCAGGGCCCAGCTCTATTACTAATATTTACCTTCAAAAAAGTATGGAGGAAATAAATGACAAAAGCCGTGGATGTGCCCAAGCTGTGTGTGATTTCATTCAAAATGTTGACAGCTCCCTGCTCCCGACAGCCAGGGGCTGTGGGGAAAGGAACAGCTTTATTGGGATGAGTCCATGTACAGTGGTTGGCTTACACCTGGGATCTTCCCACCAGAGGAACTACCCCAGTGATGCAAAGGTCAGAAAAGCAGCAGTGGGACCTCATCTCACTCCTCCTCTGCAACATTCTGCCAGTGCAGAGCCCCTTTTCACATCCCACCCCATGGATGTTGGGCATCAGGCAGTGTCCTGAGCAAACCTCTTCGTGAACAAACCTCTCCTTGAGCATCACTTGCTTTTCTATTTACATTGCAAAGCAGATGTGGGTTATCCACATTATCCATTTACTTTTATAACCTTTATCCTTTAGGCACAAGAGTGCACAACTCCACACAGCAGGGCAGGAAGAAGTAACAAAAAGCTAATTATCAGTTTATCTATTGCTTTGCAAGGTCAGGAAATACTGGAGGCTGTAAAGAGCAGCTGGTGGGGGCCGGGAGCCACCTTGGAGGTACCTGCACATCCCTCATCCCGAACAATCCATCAATTGTCATGCTGAGCAGCCCATGTGGGAGGAGGAGAGCATAGGACTTTCTGCAGAGCACACAGCCCTTTTTGTGTACTCTGGCAAACAGCCCAAAAGATCAGTTCTCGGGATTTTTCCCCACCTCTGCCTTTACTGAGACTTTGCATATTCTTTTCCCAAGTCTGAGATTGCTTTGGACGAGTTAATGTACTGTAATCCAGAGTGGGCTGGGTTATTTAGTCTACAAGGAACCCTTTAACTTTATCCTTAAAACATAAACTTTATCATTACCAAAGATGCAATAAATAAATCAAATCATCCCCTCCAAAGTCCTTTACATGGCTGGGTTTTTTTGTGGACAGGACAAGCAAAACTCCTCTGTCTCAGGGGTGCAGGAATAATTCAGAATCCAACCCAGAGCAACTCTCAGCTCTGCAAAGGAGGGGCTGCCTTGCTGGGCTTCCCTATCCAAGCTTCCAGCCCTTTTCCACCTACCACCATGGTATCAGCTCCTCTCACACAGAGTTTCTCACTCCCCTGTCAAACGTCTGTCCCAGAATTCCAGCATTTTTTACATGAAACAAGGCATCTGGTTTCCCTGGTTGTAGATATAAACCTCAAAATAGTCCCTTTGATTGTTCAAAAAGCCAAGGGATTTTAAGTTGGCCCCAGGGCTACTGACTCAGGCTGGGTGGGCAGTGCCCAAATCTCAGACAAACAGCCCCCAGCTGCACATCCCACTCTCCTCACCCTCTCTACCCTCTCACTCCTGTTCAAACATGGGTTTCCCCTTCCCTCCAAAAAAAAAAAAATTAAATAAAATAAAATCTTCCAGCTCCCTTTGATGTAAAGCAAAGTCCCTTGAGCTGAAAGAAGCATTTCCATCCCTGCAGGAAAACCCAGTTGCTGCAGTTCCACAGCCAACAGCGATATCAGTCAAGGAGCCTCCTCACTCACCCGAGCCAGTCCCACTCAAGCTAAAAAGAAAACCAAAATCCAGAGTTTAAGGCAACTTCCTATATAAGGTCTCTTGGGAGGGAGGGTCTGTTGCCCTCAGCCCAAAAACCTGTGGGATCTGGAGAGAAGGATTTGACTCCTCACCTGCTGGACGCTTTTCAGTTGTGAGGAATTGGGCTTGGCACTTCTAAGAGACTGAAAACACACACGTGTGTGTAAGGGAAGGTCCTGTTAAGAGGTAAACCTGTGGTTTGCTTTTCCTCACCTGGAAGCAAAGCTGCACTGTTTAGTTTAATTTAGGGCATACAAAAAAAAAAATAAGTACCTTTATGATAATAAAACTATTCTGATAAGGACGCTCTGCATATCCAGAAGGATACAGAGCCTGTGAAAGTCTCCAGGAGATAAATGTTCCTGGTGTGAAACTTGGAATGGAAAAAAGCCTCGACACAAACTGAGATGCTGATTTGGTCCTGGGGGTAGGACAGGGCTGGGAAGTACCTGTACTCCATCTCATGGCTAATGAATCCTGAGTGGATCAGGTGTTGTGGGGGAAAGGATCAAAAAGGTGAGGAGAAACAAAACAACTGCAAAGGAAAAGTCCTGGCAGCTCTGAAGAAGCTCTGAAGAAACTCTGGAGAAGATCCTATTGCATTAAATTCTACTACAAGATGTGCCTGGGGTAGGAGGCAGCTCCTTCTGAAGCAGGGACTGTACTCACTGGGCTTCCTGGGGCTACAGGGGTGACCCTGGTACATGGTCAGAGGGAAAAGGTGATGTAAAGAAGCAGTGCACAGGCTTTTCTCTCACCTTCACACTCACACACACACACAGGTACTTGTAACTGTGCATGTGCACCCCCCCCACACACACACATTGGGATACTCAGAAGAAAAATCTTTGGTTGTTCTTCAGGTTTCTGCAGGAAAACACACAATTCGTGTAAACTGCAAATTGTCCCCACAAAAATGTCCCTGATTCTGAATGAGGCACTGCAGAAATGGAGATGGAACCACACACAGCAGTCTGGACACAGGCTGTGCCTGTGCTTTGATGTGCAGGGCCAGTGTCCTGCCAGCTCCAGGTGACACCATCCCCAGGGCCCCTGAACTGACCATCACCTCACAGTGACCAGCACTGGGGCTTTTCCTTCACAGCTCAGTTCATGCATTTATCCAGGCCAGAATCCTACCAGATCACCTGGACTCCCATCCACCTTTAAGGCCCAGCACAACCCTTGGACCACAATACTTAAGTGCTCTACAAGTATTTTCAACTAAAGAAGAAAAATACCGTTGAGCAGAGAAAATGTGAGTCATTTACCAGCCTAAATCATAAACTAAGTTCCTTATTTATCAAGTTCCTATTTTCATTTCACACTGCTGCCTGCTCCCTATCCTGTACCAAAACTCAGGTTGTCTCCCTGTCCTGCTATGCACACATTGCTCTCTGCATGGACCAGAGCTAAAATTCAAGAGGGGTTTAGATTTGGAAGTAAATACATGTCACTATTTATTTTGTCACAGCAGAAATGGTGCTGCCAAGGAACAAGCCAGACTAATTGCCAGTGGCCTCTTGCCTATGTATGATCAGAAATCTCAGCTTCCCATCAAACCAGGGTACAGATATTCTCTGTGACCTCATCAAGATTATCTTTTCCTGGGATTTTGGGCTCTTTGTGAGCAGTGTAGAGCAATATCTCCTAACCCACTGTGTAGTGCACAGGGTAAGAGTTCAATGTCTTGTTTTCTTCTCCCTGTAACCTCACCAACCCCCACACTGGACAGACGAGACTCAGGAGAGAGCAGGGGATTAGCTGAAATCTCATCTGAGAAAAGGCCTCAGTCAGACAGTAAGAAAAGCACAGGAATATCTCCACGAGTGTGGATGGTGCTTATTGGGATGGGAGTAAGGGCTTAACGCCACGTGCTGAAGGAACTGGACAAGTAGGGTCCATGTGAGAGAGCACCCAACCAATCTGCCATGTGGGAGAAAAAATAGGGCTTGGGCCACAGAAAACCCTGTGCTGAGCAAACAATCACATAATCCCAGACCTGAAAATTTTGTGATGAAAAAATGAGGAGAACAGCAAATGCATCACCCAAACCACCACTGGCCACTTTTTGGTCCACCTGCACCAAGGAGAGGTAGTGAGAGCAGGATGGGGACATCAGTGTTCTACACCAGCATTTTTGGAGGAAAAGAAAGCATCACTTCCAAGTGGACTCTGCAGGTCTGAGCCAAAGCTGTTCTTGGCCACTCATTACCAGCATTGACAGCAGCAACAGCACAGAGGGCAGCCTGAGGGTCACAGCCCAAGGAGTCACAGCCCCTCTAACACTGACCAGAGAACCCCTGGGGACAGGGCTATGAACCTTGCTCTTCATTTCCCCTCTGCTGGGCAGTGCTGGCACGTTGTGCTCACACTCCAGAGCTCGCACAGCACCCATGGCCACACGGTATGTGCTCTCCCACACATTTCCTTAATTTTGAGCCTCCTCAGTGCAGAGAACAATGTTCCTGGGCAGGAATCAGGCCTGAACTTTATGTCCTGCTAGTATTGCATAAAAGCAAGGCTTCCCATTGCTCCCCACTGCCTGGTAAACAACATTAATCTCACCCCTCCTTGCACAGGGAGTGACTCGGTTGCTCAGGAAGGGAGAGCGCAGCGGCAGCAATATCGAGTTACCGGTGGGACGAAGGAGACAAAGTAGACAAAATTAACCCCAATTACACAAACTATTTCAGCAGGTCCAGGCAAGAGGCACAGGCAATCCTCACCTCCTCTTCCGGCTCTCCGCTTCCAAGGGGCTGATACTTCTGCACGAAGCGGAAAAATGACCTTTTCTGGAAGAGTTTGGTGAAAATCCCTTCTCCCATCTTCTCTGCGCCGCAGTGGGAAGTGCCCCAGGGCCACCGGGATGGGGCCACCGGCTGCTGGAAGTGCTGGCTCCAATTCCCCTGTGAGCTCAGGGCTGGAGTTACCTGGAGGGAGAGGCACCTTCACCTGCCGCCAAGTCACGCCTTCGGCCGGCGGTGCCGGAGGAGGCTGCACACCCTCGGAGCCACGGCAGGGTGCTGCCCGTAAAACCCTGCTGGGGGAGCCTGGCTGTGTTTGACGCCGTGCCTGGGACACGAGTGAACTCGATATATGTGTGTGTGTGTGTGACAGCACCTGAAGAGCAGGTTGAGGTTTTCCTCCGCCCTCTGGAAGATTGTTGCGGGAGGAGCGTCGGCGGTGCCACATCCCGGGCAGCAGATAGGGAAGGTGTTTTGCCAAGGCTGCTGTGTGCAGAGGCAGGACAGGTTACACACACTGCCAAGCCTGTTTGTAAACTTCCAGGCTGGGGTAATCCTCCTTAGGAAATGCTCCAGTCAGCAGAAGGTCGGTATTTATAAGTATTTGCATCAGGGACAGGGTATGAATGTGTGATGTGGGAATTTGTGATGATCATTTGTAAAACCACAGTGTTTTATTTGTGCTTTCATGGTGGATCGCAACATGCAGCTAAAGTTGGACTTCAGTGTCAGGAGCTGGACTTTGATGATTCCTGTGGGTCCCTTCCAACTCAGGATAGTCTATGGTTCTATCATTCCATGATTGATAAAGTTCACCAGTTACATCATTTCCAAAGATTTATGGCTGCCTGTCAGGGAGCATCATGCTCTGGTTGGCGCCATGAGAACTACATCCTCCCCCAGGCATCATGACTGTGGGATTCATTTACACTTAAATTGTCTCTGAGGTGTAAACTATGAGATTAAGATACTCCTTTAACAGTAAAAACTGCATCAAGGGAATAGATGTCATTCCCAGCAGGAGGAAAATAGACGTGCAATTTCCTGCAGGAGAATGGTTTTCTCCAAGGAGATCCAGATGACAGCTTCACAGCCCTGGAGCAGGTGGCGATACCTAGATCATGATGAGGCCAAGACCCCAGATTCTCACCTATGTGACAGCCCATGGTACCCAAAACCTGGCCAACTTCCCCAAACTGGTGTTTTCCCCTGGAGAATTTCAGCGTTGCTTATTTGCATCTCCCAGCTCCCGTGGGACACTCCCCTGGCACGATGCAGCTACAGAGAGCACCCTGTGGAGGGAGGGGCTCCTTCCCAGACTGAGGAGAAAACAAAGGGATTGGGAAATACCCTGCAAAGAGCCGTGTTCTCGTAAAACACAGCTGGTGCTTCCCAAATCCCTCGGCTCCCTGTTGAGCAACGCTTATGCAAGGATCCGAACTGGATGCGTCAGGCAGATGAAGGAAGTTCCTGCATGGTCTCAACAGCCCTCCTTCCCATGGGAAAGGATTCAGGGATAATGCTAGGCTCTGATTTTTTGGGAATCTCACATCCAGGCCCTTCCCAGGGTTTAGGTAAGGTGCTTAGCCGGGACTTGGAGCAGCCCAGGGGTACACAGGGATTTGGATATTATGGAAATGTGAGGGAATTAGGAGGTGAACCCCTCTGAGCTCATTTATGCTTTCACACTGATGCCCACTTCTGCAGCTGTTCCAAGGGCCTGGAGCATGGCCAGCAGGCCCTGCTGTGCTCCTGACAAGGCACAGCAGCACTGCCTGCCTGGGAACACCTTCTCCTGCTCATCCGAGTGCGTTTGCAGCAGCCATAGCTTGGGGATCACTCCAAATCCTCGTGTCTCTGCGAGAAAAGTGGTGAAAAACATCTCCCCCTTTTATAGGCAGGTAGAAAAAAACCTTTCCCTTAGGTTTAGTTCTTGCTTTCCTCGTCCCAAATCCTCACCCATCATCCCTGAAGCTGCTGCCCATGAGGAGCCTGGACATCCTGGGGCTCTGCAGTGCACCGTGAGCCCGTGGCCTGGGCAGCCCCAGTGTGGCTCTCATTAGCCAAGTGCTGCTGACACTGCTGCTGAGCATCAGCCTGGTGCTTTCCTTATTTAACTTCATCTCCTTGGCAAAAAATTGGCTGCTTATGGACACAAACACAAAATCCAGAATCCACATAATGTGGACACAGCGAAGGTGCCACATCCTGGGTCAGGGAGGGGGAGCGATGCAGTGAGTGGTATAACAGAAATACCAAAACAAATAGGGCATGGAAAAGGAGAAAAATGAGTTGATGAGCATCATAATGCACCACAAACATCAGTGCAGGGTGGTTTGTTACCCAGCAGACTGGCAGCTTGGGAGGAACAGCGCTTTTTGGGCTCAGGACCACAGCCCCTCTGTCATCTTTTTGTTCCTTCAGTTCTGTAACATGAAATTCCATTTTAGCACCAGTGAAATGGAATAAATGCAGAAAGAAAATGTTGCTCTTGGTGTTTGCTGCTATGTGAAATTACTGAATGGACTCAAGTTTCATTTTCTTACTGCTTTTGATTTCTGCCTGTTAAGAAATCTAATGAAAAACTCATGTATTTTGCTATGTCATGGCTCAGATAATGCTGGGAATAAACTGAATCAAGATGCAAAGAAAACAACACTTATAAAAGTTGTATTTCTTCACTCTGGTACAAGACATCATTTTCACACTATAAAAGCATAACACACAGCCCAACGACAGTGCCCTTATAATAGTTCCTATTTAATTGGATAATAAAGCTCCAGTTCTTATCTGGGAAACCTTTATTTTTTCTTTTAAATAGAAAATATCTGTTATGAAGACAAACACAGCAAAGGAGCTGTGCTCTGAGATTCCCTGAGACCAAAAGGATGCTGCTTGTGAGGTCAGGGTGCTGCTTCCAGTTCAAAACTCCCAGCTCCTTCACCTGCTTCCCTGCCTGAACAAGGGCTCGTCACACTCTTGTTCCTCTTGTGCCACCTTGAGGGAAAAAAACTCTGCTGCATGGGTAGAATTGAGTTTGCTGCTACCCAAAAATCCAGATACTTCACTTTCAGGTTGAGATTTTCCTGGGCCCCCGGGCAGAACATCCCCTGCTCCTGGTTATAAATGCAAAGAACAGAGTTTTGGGCTGTGGTTCCTTTCCATCTTGTCAATGCTACTGATAAAGGCTGAGTGAAATCCTTAGGTCTGTCCCTAGGTGTGCAATGAGGAAGGAAGAATTTAATTGAAGCCCTTGGTTTCTTTTTGCACAGTCTCCACTGCTTAAATTGGGACACTCACCTGGGAGGTGGCTCAGACTGGGTGAAACGAGCCCCACCATCCACATCTCCATCTGGGACACTCTAAAGGTCTTTTTTGTTTTGCATGGCTTCTCCCGTGGTTCTTGCTGTTCTGTCTGTGTAGAAAGGTAACAAGAAGGAGAAAATAATGGGAAGAAATAGGATTTACCTCTGCAGACTCACCAGCAAAAAGTGGGTTTTATTGTCTACCTTTAAAAGATCCTAAATGATGCTGTAAATCCTTTTGCCACAGCCAGACAACCAAGGCTCACCCAACCCCAGCTCCAGAGAGAAATCCAGCCTGTGTAGGCAGTGTGAGGTGGGAGAAGAAAATAACCCCCTGTATGAACAAATCCCTGCTGTGTCACATCACTCCAAAGATTTTTTTATGGGTTGTCTTCGCCTCGTGGGCTTATTCACTGCTCATCTACCCATGGAACAGCTTCCTGAAGGTAACCAGAACACTCCTGCTCCACAGAGCTTTATGGAGCCCTAAACCAGGCAGTCAGAAATAGAGCAATTTTTATATTATTCTGATTATTATGGTTATAATTCTAGACTTCTTGAAGATCTATTGTGTTGATCCTTCTGTTGATTCCAGTAGTTGGTTTCTTGGATGCACCGACAGCTCCTCAGTGTCAGCTGCAGATGCTGCCTTAGGTCACACTGTGTTTTTTTCCACAAAGACCATTACCCAGCTACAGCAACAGGAACTATATTTGCTTGCATTGACATGGAAACAAGCTGAAATTAAAACATGATTTTGTGGTGTTCACCAAACAGATCCTTCTCTTGAAAGCCGAGGTACTTGGTCCATGTCACACTTGCAGGAGACAGGAGTTATGTACACACACCCTGTAATCTCCCCTTCCAAACAGTCCCTGTGAGCACTGCCATGAAAAATCCAATTGATCCCAGCTCCCCTGATGGAGTGAAGAGGCACCCTGACACCTAGTGCTGACTGGCATCTTCTCAATCCCCCCGGAACACCTTCCCAAAGCACTGACTCCCCGCTATCCCTCCCATGGATAAATTACAGGCAGTTTCTCTCCCTGATACAGTTTCAGGGCAGAAGGGAGGCAATGCAGAAGGACTCCTGCCCACTCCTGACAAGCAGGTTGAGCAAGACTGATGTGGGTGGAGCAGGTGGGATGGTGGAGTCTTGCCTGCTCCTTGGAAACGCAGAGCTCAGCAGCCCAACCTCTCTCCTCTGCCAGCCCAGTGTTCTGGAGTGGGCACAGACCAGCACTGCCCTTCAGCTTGGTTTGCTTTTCCACCCTTCCAGCGAGCCTTGGCCTCCTGCAAAGCTGCCTGAGGAGCTGCTTGTGCGGCCCAAATCACCTGAGCTGGCAGCTGAGACCCAGCCAGCAGCGACCAACAGCACTGAACCAACAAGGACAGTGCCTGGTGAGACAAAAGGGTCACCTTCTCCTTGGGGCATCATCTCCAGCCTCTTTACAGTCTTGTCCATCCTCTTTGGCAGTGGGCATGCAGGTGACAAGAGCTGAGGGTCTGACCTACAAAGGTGGCCCCTCTGAGAGGGGACAGGGGTGGTAGGTGTGTTTTGGGGGTCTGTCCCCTCCCTTCCAATGGACAGAATGACTTCTGTCTCCTTGCGCCTCTGCTATCTGAGCCTCCCCCAACAACTAAAATATAAAATATTTGTCCCTTTTTTCATCGTTCGAAGCTCAGTGTATGCCAAGAAGACCCAAGTGAAACCAGGCAGGGTTGAAAAATAGACTGGTCACTTTTTATTGAGCACCGAAGCGGCAGAGCCAGGAC